TTTAGAGTTAGAAGTTGTTGTAAGTTACATGTGTCTTGTGATTTTGCCGTACTACCTTTACAGCCAAGACCATGCTGAGTCCAGTGCATGACTCGTGTTCATTCAGCCAGATATAATCCCGGATTGTTTATCTCAGCCACCCATGGGAAAGTGTGATGGTGATATAGACTTATGTATGGACAAGGATGCCAGAGAACAGCATATTGATAATTGCTAAGGCTAGCTAGTATCGATATTGTGTTAGGTTGATGGGTTAGCTCATGGATAGATATCGATATCGCAAGTGTTTTCTAGGCAATCAGAGTTTTAAGGAATTTATCTTTGCGTTATGTGTTTTGCCAGAATTTGTACTTACTCAATCATTTCTTCGTTGTTTCTCATGCAATGTTCAAGGCAACATCATCTTCATTAAAGTCACAATCTTTCCTGTATTCCTGACTGGTGTATTTCCATTATTTTACAGGACTGCGTATCACATCATATTTTAATGTATAACACCTGCACATGTATGCCCTTTCGGTCATACACGGGTGTAACATAAGTTCCTTGTGGGCAGTAACGTCCTAGAGGGGGGGTTCTTGTTCTTTCAGGAACCTGCAAATGGTCTTGTGCTGCCTAATAGGTTTTCCATTAAGACCATTATGAAATCCAGAAATGGATGACCTAAAAATGCGTAAAGTTCCTGTAGGCTAATCCCTTGTCTAACAAGGATTGCAAGAAGGAGCAAATATCTCACCTACAGAGGTAGAGCATGGACATGCACCCTGTTTAAGGGTGTTCTTGAAACAGTGACCACTGCCTATCATACACCTCCTAGGTGGAGGATCAGACATCGCTCTGGATTGTGTCAATAACTTCCTCCGAAAGGCCAGTCTAGCTGAGCAGTCTGCGCTCAGTTTCCAAGCCATGAGACAAACCTCTTCCAACCTGGGGTGGCATATGCTGCCCCTCCACTGTTGCAGAAGATTCGGCAGAGCTGGAAGTTGAATTAGGGTGTCAACTAAAAGGTCCAATATTCTCAATTACCACGAACGCCGGGGCCAATGTGGAGCTATGAGGATGACCACACACTTGTAACTCTCTATTCGGTCTAGCACCAAGTGAATCAGAGCGATCAGGTGATAGGCATATACCATCAATCCGTCCCAGTTCAGCGTCAGAGCTTCCATATGAAATGCCTCCCTGTGTAGAACTCGAGAACAGAACACTAGGAGCTATTTGTTGTCTGATGTCGGAAAGAGGTCTATCACCGTCTCACCCATGATCAGGAATATACATATAGACCTCACTACTGCAGGGCAAAGGCTCAACTCAGAACTCACCAATGTCTGCCCGGATAACTTGTCATCTAGAACATTCTGAGTCCCCTGAATGTGTACTGCTGACAAAACGAGGTGATTCTGCACACTCCATAGCCAGAGTTTCTGAACCCCCATACAAAGGCTTGAAGACTTGGATCCCCCCCTAGTTGTTTACATGTACATGTATATAAGACACCACTGTGGAAATGTGCGACTTCACCAGGACATGTTTTCCTTTCAGGAACAGACAAAAATGTTGACAAGCCTTCATCACCAACATGAGTTCCTTCATGTTGATGTGCCAAGAATGAAGTTCCTCCGACAAACAGAGACCCTGGACAAACTGATTCTCGACATGGGCTCCCCAACCATATTTGCTGGAGTCGGTTATTAGGGTCACATCTGGTGGAGCCTTACGTGGGAGACCCCCATTTCTAAAATCCTCTCTGATCTCCCCCACTGCAAGTGTTGAAGAAGATGGTCGTTGATTGGAATCAAGGCCCCAGATTTCTTGAGGCCAGGTGCCAAAAGTGGCGTGAATGTAACTGAGTTGGTCTCAGGTCTCGGGACAGCCAAACTACTTCTATACAGGCCACCATCATCCCAAGAAATCACAGAAACTCCTCTACTGTAGCCCAATGCTGAGTCATGAACTTCTGAACAAACTGTAAAAGTTCTACATTTTTCCCCTGGGGAAGACAATCTACATTGAGGTTGGTCTTGAAGTGACCACCGATATAAACAAGGTTCTGACTGGGAGTCAAACTAGACTTCACCCTGGTGATTAGGAAACTGCAACTTTCTAACAGAACTAGCAACAGGTTGGACTCTTTCTTGAGCTAAACTTTGCTCAGAGCACGTATTAACAGATTGCCTACATGTAAATAAGGGAGCACTTGGGCGCCTTCCATTCTTGCTTTGGCTACAACCAGAGCTACAACTTTGGTGAAAACCTTCCGAGCTGACATTAGGCTGAAGGGAAGAACACGAAATTGGAATGCACTTCCTCCGACTTCGAACCACATATAAGCGTCTTGTAGGTCTATTGAACAAGCCAATTTTGTGGTTTTACTGCCTTCTTTATCAAACAGAGGGACTCCATTTTGAACTTTTGCTTTTTGTATGCAACGATTCAGTGGCTTTAGGTTTAGAATTGGTTGCAAACCTGAAGGTTTCTTTACCACTAGAAAGAATGTTGAGTAAAGCCCTTCATTTTAATTGGTCCAAGGCACAGGCTCGAATGCATTCTTGTTTAATAAGGCGTCGACCTCATTGTACTAAACAGAGGATCTTACTGAAAACTTTGGGTCTACTGGTGTGCTCCTGATGCCATTGAACTGAGGAATATCTTGGAACTCCAAAAGGTGACTGAACTCTACAATGTCGAGAACCCATCGCTCGTTTGTCAAGAGGTGCCAACATATCCACCCGTGATGAGATTCGACCCCCCACTGGATTGACTAAAAGAACTGGAAGGGCCCGCCTCAACCTATTGTGATTTGGAGGCTGGATAACCTTTATCGTGGGTATGTCGACGAAAGGGTCCTCTCTCCTGACAACCCTTTTGAAAGCTGGTTTTGGAGCCACGAAAATTTGCCCCACCAAGCCTAGGCTTCTTAGATGGCCTGGCTTGAGGACCATGAAACGATCCATCCCTTTGGGTGGAAGAGAAGGATTTGCGACGGAGGTCATTGGAGGACTTGGGCTTGAATGCCCTGGCTGGGCAGAAACCAGTAGTCTGAAGGGGAACACGACAAATACCATCAGTTTCATCGAGCTGGCCATCCCCCAGTTTGAACCCTTCTAAAACCTCCTTCAAGTTGCCCCCACACAGGTTGCCATCCCCGGTAATCGAAGCTTTCCTGAGCTTTGACTTAGTATTGTCAGCCAAGCGGGTTTGCTGCAGCCACATGTACATGTAGCTCCTGGCTAATTTAGCGTTGGCTGCTTCCCTCACTTGAAGGTCCCGCATGTCAAGAGTGGCTTCCTGTGCTGTACTCAAAGACTGAGATACAGACCCAATATTGACCAGGTCCTTGAGATTATTCAAACTCTGTTGGTCATGAGTGTTCAGAAGGAACTCCTCCAACTTTGAGATCTGTTTAGAAGCCGCTTTCAAAAGCCACCACGTACTGTGACACCACAGAAGCCATACCAATGTGGGTCTCCTTCTCAATGCTCATGAAGCGTCAATCTGCCATATTCAACAACTTATCAGGGAGTTTGGGAGCGTCGATGTTGAACCCACGAACCACTAGTCCAAGCTCATGAGTTTTCTATAGTCTTCCTCTATGATTTTGTAACAAGCCAAAGTGGATGCACGGTATAAGGAGATACGTTCAGGATTCCCCAACCATACCTTGTCAATCAATTTCTTATGCGCATCTGTTAGGGGCAGGAGCACTTTGCTCTGCTTAGTCTCAAATCGAGCTTAAAGTGATCTCAGGATCTTTCCGTTCCTCAAAGTGAGCATTATTAATGGGAAGGGAGTGTGCTGCGTCCTTGACCACTTCAAAGAATTATCAGTGTTGACATCCAGATTCTGACACGCTAATACAAAACCCATTCTCGTAATCACGGTCACAACCATGTGAGCCCTCTCCCACTTTACTAACTGAGCCCTGGGAGGAGATGTTTTCTTGCATTGGCCTACAACCACACTTGAAGTTGACAGTGGAAATCTGAGACACGGACTCATCAAAAAGCTTCTCCGGCTGAGGATGTAACACAAGTGAGTCGGCCCTATCACCGTCACGGGTGAAATCTTGGTGTACCGTCATGAGTGCCCCCACAGGGCAAACTAGTAACTTGGGATGTGTCAAAGCCAATGGAGCCCCCCACAGGGGCCTCTGGCTGATTGCAGACAGCACCATGAACCCCCAAAGGGGCAGGCTGTTTGACCAAAGGGGCCTCTTCTCCCAAGCGAGATACTGTATGAGGGGCAGAACCTCGGAAAGCAGTTAATTCCTGGTCAAACCTTTCATCATACCCTGCATCGTCTGTTGCATACGCTTTTCAAAGTCAGAAAAATTTTGCTGGAATTCAGCCCTGTCAACAAACTGACTGACAGGAGTACATGCCTGGTTATGCTGGGACTTGTGTACTGAGTGAGATGCAGCTTCATCCTCCAACATTTAAGCAGCCTTTTCCTTGGCCTCACATGAAAAGGAGACCCACAAGTCCAAAGACATGCTGCCTATTTTCTGACGTAAATCACAGCTGTGCCCACTAGATCCATAACGACACTTAAAGCACAACACATGGGGGTCATCTACTCCCAGAACTCTGTGGGAAGAACTGCTAGAACATGGTTTCGTCATGCAAACTGCAGCGGTGTCGGCCACACATGCTACATTGGCGCGCTCGCCAGACTCGGCGGCCGCCATGATAACTCTCCATAGTTGATAGTATACGAATGAGAAAGAATTCTAAGAGCAGAATACCATAATGTCCTTGAAAAACTTCAAATAATGCATACTATTGTATTGTAAAGGGAATAAATATGCTTGGCCGGTCTTAAATGTGCCTTTAAGACCGGCTCAGAACAGTGGATGCGACTAATGTGGCTCAGGCGTAATCAGCTTTCGTTCTCCTGAGCAAGGTCTTTAACGTTAGTTTAAATCTTGCCAAGCACATATTTATTCCCTTTGTACATATCTTTTTATTCAGAGAGTCAAAAGAAGTCAACATATGATTGATTTCCAATGATTTTGTTGTAAAATTTTACTTTCATTTTCCTGAACATCCCGTCCATTTATGGTATATTCCTTTTGAAAGTTGTCCAAAAGACTCCCCTTCAATGAACTTGGTGCACGTGTGGCACACACAGACTCCTGACCAATCAGACCCGATTAAACTGTCTCGTATCAATGTGCCAGCACGTGGTTTAAGGAGTGGGCATTATCACTTCTCAACGGGCATTATCAAATGTTAATACAAGGTCACATGACGCATTTCAACTGAAAGGAATAGAAAACTGTCACAGGTACATGTATTTAAGAATACACGTGTAACCATTTCAAGTGGAAATTATTGTCTCATTCACATGCAATCTACTTTTCTCCAACTTGTCAATCGTTATTTTAATTGGCATTCAAATTATACATGAAATGCTCATGTTTTTACCTGTTACTTTGTTTTTCTGATGAAGAGGAATGATCACCGTGCTGAGTGTTGCAAACTGCTTTGGTGAGTCGCGCCCTCTCTGGCCAGATTGCTAGCAGCGCAGGCGCCACATTTTTCCCAACATGTCGGGAGGTGGATTGGATGGTGAGTTTCGTGCCTATTTGTTTGTAATGATGACATTTTACAATACTAAAGGAACCTTGAAATCATTTACAGTTACGGCCAGAGTAAAGGTTTACACGATATTGCGTGCGTCCGTGTATAGGGAGTGCAAGACACTCTCTTTATAACGTGTGCAACAACGCAATACACGCAGTTGCGGTTAGCCCGGATAGACCTCTAAGCCCCAACCAACTCAAGCCAATTAAAGTCAACCACAATCCCGGCGTGTGTCACCGAACATGATACACGAATAAGCAGTCGGCAAACTGGTGTCAAATTCACTTATTTATCAGCTCATATTCAGCGCGATACACGAAGAAACATGCAATGCCTCACAAACAATATTTCAGTGTCTTGTGTGAGAACAAAACTGATCCGTGATCGAAACAAAGATTCAACAACTCCCAACGGAAAGGATCGTCAGTAGCAGCCCAGCGGCTGGATGAACCCCCACACATTTATTTCAATTATTATTTGACAGGTAAAATTTAACAAAGCTATTTCCCTTGAAGTAGTCACTTAACGAAAACAAAAGCTGACAGAATGTTTCCTTAAAATATAAATTTGTACAAGAAAAAGAATATACCCAATCCCCAAATATGATTTTGCAAACATTTTAAATAATTATTTTTCCTAGCTGCACGATCACACAAACAGATTTTTGGCAGAAAGCAAAGCCGTAATTTCTTTGAATTTATTGAAACTATTTCATGCTCGGCGGATATAATGCAACACGTGGAGTTGGTTGTCGTCACTGAAATCGTGAAACGATTTTATTTAATTGAACAGGTAACCAACCACCCGATCGACCCCATGGCTTCGATCACCGAAAAATACTTTCTTTATGCAACCAACCCTGTCTTCATTTTCCTTAAAAAAATATGATAACCTTCAAAATTGTGTGAACAAGGATGTAATTTCTCACCAAAATCGTTTCTTACCCAACTGACCTAACCGGACGATAAACGACCAAGCAGTCGGCAAACTGGCGTCAAATGCACTTATTTATCAGCCCATATTCAGTGCAATCCACAAAAACACACACAGCCTTAAAAGGAAGTGTTCGTGTGTGCTGTGTGAGACTGAGAACAAATATCTGTAAAACTGTCAGTGATCAAAGCAAATGAATTGACAACTATTTGTGTTGGAAGTATCCACCTCACGGAAAGCTGAGAGAATGCTTCTGTAAAATATAAACTTGTATGAGAACAAATATCATATCCCCAACTACATATCTGTAAATGCAAACATCCTCAAGTACAGTTATACAAACGAATTTTTGGTGGACATAATGCGACACGTAATTTGATTGGCCGATGTTAATATCAGGGTGAACAAATTTATCCACTGGGGATAGACGACCGGCTGACAACCCTCTGGCCTACGTTGAAAAAAAAAACACTCAGTGCTGCTAATTCTTCCTTGAAATTCCAGGAAGAAATGATAAACTACAGATTTTTGGGGACAAGGAAGCAATTGGTCACCCGTGTTTTTCCCCGGTTGACCTTACCGGACGCGAAACATGAACATGCGATGTTGAATTCACTTTATTTATCGGCCCTGGTCCTGTTATCCAGCACGATACATGAGAAACCTAGCAGAAAATACTTCGACATCCTGTGTGAGAACACACAACTGCAAAATTATGAACTAGCAACTTTATATGTACGAAAGGATTATTTTTAGTGCCCAGGTCCTACGAACTCCCGAACATTTGAGAAAAGCGGATAAAAATTCCCGACAATAAACTTCTACGAAAACTATTATCTAATCCTAAAATACACATTTACCGGCAATGCAAACATGAAAAATTTACACAGATTTTCATGCATAGGATAAAATGTGAAGCGATGCAAACCTTGTCACTGCTAGATCGGACTTTGTTGCAGGATCTGGCCGAGTCTTCTGGATAATTGTTTTCGCAAACGATTGGCTTTGCCGGGTTTCTTGTCTGCCACGTAGTCCGGCGAATTTCATGGAAATTGTAAACCTACTGTCTCGCTTCAATAAATGAAAAAGCGTTCTCTTTTTTTTTTACATTTACATGTTTAATAGAGCATTCAAAATTCCATCGGCCTTTCTTCTCACAGGGAAAACTGTAAACTAAATTCCTTACAATCCTTGTGGGGCAAGGGAATCAAGAGTTACATGTACATGTATGTGTGCATAGCATGGTTTAGTTTGTGGTATTAAGCCCCTGCTAATACGCTGTAAATGACTTGAGAAACTTCCATGTTCTGGGTATTAAAAGAATTTATAAAAGATACCAGGTTCATACGTTCATTGATTCCATTTTTAAATTTCTAGTGATGAAAAGATATAAGAACTCATGTATTTAATTCAAACCTGTCTCGTTGAAACAAGCACTTTTAACCTAATGATCCAGAGCCTATGACATTTGGGGTTTTTCCTTGTCGCCTGTTTACTACACTTGACACGGCCAAGAGCTGGAATTAGCAAGAATGGAGAAGGGTCCTTTCGCGAATCACTCTTGGAAGTTTAGAGTTAAGCTTGGCGTTTACTGTGATAAATAAGAGCGGCACCATTTTTATGAAAGAACTCTTAGTGCTAAACTAATTTTTGTATGCTCAAAATCAGAAATTTAGGCTAAAGGTCAATTGTAACCTTTAAGGTACGGTTTTAAAAGATGTGGCAATAATATATATGCTGTCCTTTCTCAGACTTACCTTTTTTCATTTAGGATTATAAACCCTCGAACGCTTCCTGTGACATGGATGTTCAATGCAAATGCTGAAGAACTGGATGAAGCTGCTAGCCCTAGCTTTGGCTTTTATTTGGCAAAAATGCTGGTTCAATTTTAATGAAATGATTTAAGAGGGAAAAATATTACAACCAGCCTTTTTCACAATGAAATCTTGAACATACATTCAATGCTTTACAAAAAAAGTACATACAAGTCAATGACACAAACTAGCTGAAGAAATTTGTAATAAAATAAGAAATCTGATGGCCGCAAAAGTAACGATGAACCACTTTCTGAAAATAAAGGAAATACACATAGGCTGAAACTCACTGAGTATGTCCACATGACTACACGTACGTGCAACATGGTCTGAAAATAGTGTTTTTTAGCTGATCACAATAAATTTTAAGTCACCGCCCACATCGACCCCTTTCCCCCATCCCCGATTTTTTTCTTATTTCATATTTTTTATTTAAAAGCATCAATCCCACAATTTTTCATCTATCTGTCATCAAACTCGTTTCAATAAACTTACTCAAATAAAACTATCGCCACACAACATTTATTCTCTTTTCATAACAGACAAATTCAGAAATTACAGAAAAGTCCATTTTAAGTGTTTCTTGACTTTGATCCTATATTGTTTTGTCTATGAACTGCCCTGCGCCTCGGCAATCACCAAGGCTGCTTTTCCTCATGACCCAGCTTGTCACCTAAATGGAAAAAAAGATGAACAGATTTGTAAAGAATTGCACATGCTAATTAAACTAATTTTTAAAACATTAGCTCGATACATGCACACACAAAAAAACAATTAACTTACCAGCAGAACTATTGCCCAAGTTTCTTACATGTAGGCCTTGACAAGAGTTTAAAATGTTCTGAATTAAAATGCATGGAAGTGATAAAAAAGTTTTTTACTGAAAATCATGTTGAAAATAGTCAATATCTGTTATCAAATTAAAAGCAGTATTTTTCCCACCGTGGCCATGACTGAAAAGGCCAAACTTTCCAAAATACATTTACATTTCTGGGCAACTAGCGCATGTAGGGTACATGACTATTCGCCTGGGAGTCATGCAGACGATCCCTCATTGAAGTTGTAGTCCAGAGCCATATGTCGCTTTGCAAAGGCTTTGTATAAAGAATACAGATTGATAGCTATTATGTCCCAAAATCGGCCCCGAGTATGCCCAATAAAGTATTGCAAAAAAGGTGGGATTGCCACCGCGCAGTAAAAAATTGTTCACCACACGCCGCCATGATGAATCGCAACAGATACAACTTGCTCTAGTTCACCTGGTTTCCCACATTTGTGATTTGAGGACCATGTACATAGAAATTGGTGAATATGCAGCGGTGTATAGAAGTCATAATTCAAATTGAATTAACATTATAACTGTGTTTTCTTCAGCGAGAAATAAGTCGTGAATGTTTCATTTCAAATAATGGACAAAACACAAAACACAAGGACTAAAACAAGTTAAATGTAAGTTGGTCCCACTGCGCCTGATTAGCCATTATACACTCTGTCTCAGTACCGGGTACCAATCAATAACGGCATCATGCGGGCCAACGCAGTGTCAAACAAAACTAGGTGTTTATTTTGCAGACTACATTCCCTGGAAATTCTTTTCAGGTAGTTGATTATGAGTAGACTCCATAATGGTGAAACCCGTTCTTCAATTTTTATGCTAGGCCTAGACTACGCCCGTCGCAAAAGACAGTGAAAATCAAGCATTTTTTTCAGTCGGAAACGTGATGCATTGCCTTTGGTGAGGGTGCCTAGGGAAATGTGGACTGAGGCGTCTCCTGGCCACTTTCCTCAGGCTCTTAAAAACAAATCTACAAGATTTAAGTTTATGGGAGGTGCATTTGGCTATCAGAAGTTGATTTTTGACAGGCATGATTTTTTTTAATTGATCCTTTTTTTAGTTTATTTTTTGAGGCAAATACATGTATACATGTAGTACCAGTGAAAAGCCCTGACGCGGCGTGGATTAGCATTTATCCAGAGGGAAAGGAAACTCGTATTTAAGGCAAAGCCGGCTCTCCATGCGACAAAGTGAATGAATATCGAATCAAATGGCTATAAGTTAAAAATGGTACTTTAATTTATCCTAAAGACTGACAGTCTGGCCTTGTTAATGTTCGCAATACATACATGTATCGCCTACCCAGCTACACGTGCATAATCAATTTTGTGTGACGTCAGGGCTATGCGGGTACGTAATTGGTCAATCGATGGTACGGTGGTAGTCTGTCCATGCCTGTTCCACATGGCTTGTTCTTACACTGTACCACTGATTATTCAGATGAAGGGCCATGTTCACAGTTAAGCCATCGTACATAATATTTGTGAATTTTTCAAAAACATACACGCAATTGAGTTTTGTTTTAGAGTCTATAAAATTTCGTTACACGACCAATATTAAATGCTTTGCCAGGAAATCTGCTTTTGTTGGTTGGTTCTGAGTGGTAGGATTTCTCACTTTCTAGCTTGATTTTTTTCGTCAGAACTTGCTGATCCAGATAATTATAAACCGATCCAGAAAATGGCAGCGGCGCTTTCGACAATCCTGTATATCTCTAATTAAAAGCTTTAAATTTGAAAAAAGTATCTCCTTCACACAGGGTGGGCGATTAAGTTGTGGATTGTCTGTCCGTAGTCAGAGTTTTGCATTCCGAAACTACGAATTTTTTTTTGTTTTTCAAGGGACGTACTGTTTTTTGTACGTTGTGTCCACATTTAGAGAATTCGCAATATTAATGCCGACAAACTCCTTGTGTTCATTCCAAAGTAGCGCAATAAACTTCTTTGTACTTTGGAAACTTAGGACAGCAGAATGGGGGAAATCCAGTTGATAAAATCGGGGCGGTGAAAATTGTAGCGGAGCGGCACAGGCATACAATTTTCGTCAGGGCGTCCCACAGTGGGCCCTGCATAAAAAATACTCCAGGTGCCACGAGCGTTTTTTTTTTACCTTGACCAACGTTTTCTTGAGAAGAATGTTAATGCTTGATTTTTCAATCTGCGTATTAGTTGGTTCGATCTGGCTGAAGAAACGGATGCCCCGGTCATGCCGGTAGATTAACTTTGTCATTTTTCATGTACAGAGATGTACTGTACGATGACCCGTCAGGAGAGTGGCATCGGTATTCCTGATGATCTCGTACAATCCAGATCATTTCGGGGCGGCAGAGATATCTTTTTCACAAAAGGTTGACAGTTAATCCCATTTCATGATATTTCGTGAATCAGTTGTGCCGAATCAAATCAAGCCAGCACTCTTTGTGAACAGACTGCTTGGTAGTGACAGTAATGTCTGCACCATGGGTGCACCGATCGAAGTCGAAAGCATTATTTTTACGCTCATTATTGCAGGTTGGACAACTCAGTGTAGTTCGTTGTGCATCATGATCGGATTTTTAACATTGGGATCGTGGGTTTAACACGTATGCCACGATTTTAAAGACATACCAACATTTAATTGCAGTGAACGGAATACAGTGCCCGTGTACAAGCGTGCAGCATTTCCCTTCTTCACGTTCACAGGTCAGTGACACCACTTACGGCATTGCGGGTGCAGTTTACCCATACACATTTCCGCTGTCGGGCCAACCCTTTTTAGTGTGTGTATTGAGGACACCCTGCACGGTATATCAGGAAGCGTGTATTGTGCTAACGTATGTGTGATCAATGTATCATGTCATTGCATGAACCTTTACTCTGGCCCTAACTGTACCTAGTTAAGCCGTATCAATAACGCTAAATATAAGCATTTTTTCATTCAACACTTTATAAAATGGGGTTACGATTGGCAGAGTGTCGAAAAAAGACGTAGCTCCATTTCTTTTTGCCCCGTAACATTAAAAGTGTACATGTATACCTATCAGCGGATTGAGATAATTACTTTTTTGCTCTACTGCTTTTCTTTTTCTCTTATTTTAGACTGATTAGAGGGATGGAACTGCCTGTAATAGGTAATCTTCTATAAGTTCATCCACCAACCGAACTGACATGTTATGTATAGCAAGCAACCATGACCACATTTATTTGAACGCTGCAACCAACGAATATTGGCCTCAATATTCTTCATGGTGACCCTGACGTGATTTACCTGCCATGTGAACTTTTTCCTCTGGGTTTTCTTGGATTATGTGAATGATGGCTTAACACAAGACCACCAGATGAGCTCTGAGATCCAAACAGACTGCACCACTCACACCTGTGGAGTTTGTGGTGTCAGCCATCTTAGCCTTCCGTGCACTTGCTGGGCTAACGTGACCCGAGTGAGGAACCTGCCCAAGACGATCTTTGTGTGGGTGACCAAGCTGGTGGCCATGCTGGCAACCAAGCAACCAAGTCAGTGGCCATGCCAGTACCTATATCAGTGCCCATTCCAGTGCCCACATCAGGAGCCAGGCTGGAAGCCGGGGCACAACCCACCTCAACAGTCAGTCAAGCAAGCATACCAGAAGCCAAACTACCAGCCGTACTCGTAGCCACACCAGTAGCGGCTCAAGTTCTCATACAAGCACTATCAGCTCAGCCCTCTCTAAGATAAGGGTTGCTGAACGGGAGAAAGAGCTTGCTTTGGCGCATCATCACCTGCAGTGGGAGCAGACTGTCTGCATGAAGACTGAAGAACTAGAAGAACAGCTACTTTATGCACAGCGTGCAAGATGAGAATTTGCCCTGAGGGGAAAGGAGCTCGAGATTCGACAAAGAAGGGAGTTAGAGGAGGAGGAGGAACTCCAGTTGGCTAGGGAATGTCTCCAAGCTGAGCAAGGGGAGCAGTGTATCTTGAAAGTGAAAGAAAAACTGGCAAGACAGTTCGAGCTGCAGAAAAGCTGCAAAGATGCTGAACTGAATGTAGCCCAAGCCAGAATAGAATCTGACATTATTCAAACCAGCAATGATCAGATAACAGGTTCTGATTCTCCACCATTGAACTGAGCTGTAGCCCCTGATACACAGGCTATGTCTGTTGTTAACCTGTTTGTTACTGTTACAGCCACTTCTTGCCTTCCACATGGACATTGTGCATTCTGATTTGCCTGAATCTGCTGCCTTGCCCGTGCCTGTTGCTTGCAATCATAATGCTGCCGTGCCTGTGCCGTTTGCTTATAATAGTAATGCTGCCCTGCCCATGTCCGCGGTTTCCACTGTTTGCCCTTCCCTTCGTAATGATACAGGTAACCATTCCTCAGCACAGGTGAGACCGACCACACCCGCATCACGTGAACCATCACCCCAAGGGCACTCTCTGCCTGCTACCTCAGTAGGCACGTCCTTAGGTCAACCAATAGCACCGAATGCTGATCCAGCTATAAATCAGAATCAAATGTTAAGCTTAATGTTGGCAGCATCCACTAGTGGGATTAGCATGGAATTTCCCATCTTCAGTGGTGGCGACCCCTCAAGAGTTCTGTTGCTTTGAGGCCATGGCTGGGGGCTGTATCAAACGGCTTGTTCATCTAAGTGAATTACAAAAGTATTTTATTTTGAGGTCCAAACTATGAGGACAACCCAAAAAAGATGTCCTTGGTTTTGAGCACCATGCTAATCCTTTTACCCTCACAATGTCAACCCTGCGCAAGCTGTATGGAGACATCGGTATTCTCATCCGAAGTAAGATCAAACAGATCACTTCCTGGCCTAAATTGGCTGCCCATGATTCCAAGGGACTTGTGGCACTTGCGCCCACCATCTCGGCATTGGTTGTCAAACTTAAAGAGTACTCCTGAAGGGGAAGCTGAGTTGAAACTCCACTGCCTGCGTCCTTTAGGGCAGTCTTCCTCACATTCACCAGACCACCTTTTTGAAGGACATGAGCACTAAAGAGCACTAAAAACTTCTCTCTTGCTGACATCAGTGGGTGGTTGCAGGAAACTGCTACCATCGTCTGCAAGAAGATCCAGTTGAATGAATGCCTGAAGTCTGACACCTCACCCAGTCAGCATGAAAGACTACGAGCAGGTGCTGCTGCCTACCACACCAAAGCTAGGAACTAAGCAGCCAGTGTCAACAGCAAATCCAGCAAAGCATTTCATAATAGTGATTTGACAGAATCCAGACTAACCAGGGAGAAGAAACCGTTTCTCAAGCATTGCCCCCACTGTGAAGGGAAACATTGGCTTTCCCGTTGTGATAAATTTGATAAGGTCTCTCCCTGCCAGCAAATTGAACGGACAAAGGCAAACTGTAGATGTTACACGTGTGCCCGACGGCACTGAGAGGGTCAAGAATGTGACCTACGCAAGCTATGTCATGAGTGCAACGAGGTTCACCTGATGGTCCTCCACAATCTGCTCAAACAGCCAGGATATGGCTCATACTACTCAAGCTTTGACCCCAACCTCTCGGTTTTCTATTGTGATGGCAGTCCTTGGCACCGCAAGGAAGTAAGCTTCAAAATTTTGCCTGTCATTTTGGATGATGGGTCGAATGGGTCCATGTTGCCAATGGAAGCTGCCAAAGCCTTGCACCTGAAAGGGACGGCCACAGAAATTCTGATTGTGACAGCTCGAGATGCTTGTACTCCTTGCAGGGGACAGGTGTTGAATTTTGACATTGCTCCTCTGCATGATCCAGACTTGCAAATTCATGTGAGCAATGCCTTTTCCTCTCCAATGCTTACATTATCTGAGCATTCCGTCCCTGCCCAAGATCTTCAAGAAGATGGCCTCATTTACAAGACCTCCCTTTGCATGACTGCCAGCAGGTGAGAACACTTCTTCTGCTTGGAAGCGACCGCCCAGACCTGTTGATCCTCAGAGAGAGTCGGTTTGGCCCAGAGAGTGCCCCAGTAAAGGTCAGAACACGATTAAGATGGAAATTGCAAAGACTGACTATGTGGTCGAGGAGGACAAGGAAAGCTACTCTACCTGTCTAGCAAACAAGATGCTGTCTTCCATGAGAATGTCTGTCGGTTATGGAACAAGGATATCCAGATGAAAGCTGAGAGAAAGCAATTTACCCGATTGAAGTGAAACAACTTATATCAAGATGGATAATGTGCACCTAGTGGCGACACTGCTTTTATGGAGGCTTGATAAGCCCACTTTCTTTTTTCCGGTCAGTGCAGTGCTACCCTCGTTGAAGAGAAATGAACAGTGCCTACTGAGAAACCCAAATTTGGCAAAGCTTCATTGGAGCAAGATCCAGGAACTCAAGGAAGGAGGCCTTGTCCGTACTGTTGTCCATAAAGGGGGCAACCAGGAACCAGAGTTGCAATGGTACATTCTGCATAATGTTGTGCGCCAGAATGACAAGTCCCGCCTTTTCTTCAATTTTGCCTTTCGATACCAAGGTGAATATCTGAACGAAAACCCTCCTCCAGGCCCTACTTTTTGGTCATCATTTGTTTGTGTTCTCCTCAGATTCAGAAAACACCCGGTGGCCATATGTGGGGACATCATGGCGATGTTTCATTGCGTCTCATCTTTGGAAGCCGACTGCTCTAAGCTACGCTTTCTCTGGAAGGAACTCAACTCTGACAAGGAACCTAAAGAACTTGAATGGATCGTCCTTCCATTTGGGACAACATGCTGTCCCTGCTCTGCATCCTTCGCTCTCCAGCAGCACGTAAGGGTCAACATCGGAGATCCAGATGTTCTTTCTAGTGTCCTGGAGGCCTTCTACGTAGACAGTTGTCTTGATGGAAACCCATGGTTGATGAAGCCAAGCCGCTTGGGGAAAAACTGCTGTAGGCCCTTGGTGTTGGAGGATTCCCAATTGTGAAGTGGGCCAGTAACAAGCCCGCAGTGGTCGCTGACCTGCCTCCTGAAGCTCAGTCAGACAACACCGAGAGATGGTTCAACTTCAGCAGTGATACTCCAGAAGAAGTCGCCTTCGATCCCCGCTGGAATTTTGACCTACCAGCTCCAGCTCTCGGACTGGCCCATCCTTACCCGCAGGGCAGCACTAAGTGACGTCATACATTGCGCCGGAAAGGATTTACTTGGCTATTTGATGCCATTCATGGTGAGAGGCCAGATATTGGTTCAAGAATTGTGGAAGTAACCGTGGGGCTGGGATGACGAGATTCATGATGAAGGCGAGGAAGGGATACGCGCCAAGCATTTGAGGCGGAGAGAAGAGCTAGCCCAACTTAAAGATGTCATCTTGCCTCTATGCTACACTCCTCTGCATTTCAACCCAGCCACCAGCAACTACCACTGTTCTTGCTTGGATACAGTCAGAGTCCTGTTGCTGTAACAGATTTGTTTTGTGCTTGGGTTGCTGAAGTTTAACGGCTAACGAATCATGTCACCTGGCCAGAGAAGTGAGCAAAGATGGGGAATCATTTAGCAGTGTATGACCACCCGAGCCATCTACCTTGATCTGCTCAACTCCCTCGATGCCGATGCCTTTCTGATGGCTTTTAACCATTTTTGGCCTCGAAGAGGTACCCACATGGATCCTATGTGGCAATGGAACGAATTTCAAGGGAGGACTGACAGAGTTGACCAAGGCCTTCAGTGAAATGACACCTGGTTTGCAGGAGCAGCTCGCCAAGTATAAGGTTCGATTCAAGTTCAATCCGCCGTCTGCTCCACATTTCGTGGAACATGGGAATGAGAGGCACGTTCTGTACATAATGCCTTGTATGCCATCCTTGGAAATCGGACTGTGGCTGTCACTGTCTTGTACACCAGTTTGGTTGAGGTAGAGGCTCTCCTCATCTAAAATCCTTTGGATATGTGGCCGACCCTGATCCAATCGTACTTGTACATTGCACTTGGGGCGGCGAGACCATGCTCCTCCACAGGTAGGTTACCCTGATCAATATATCCATGGTCGTCATCGTTGACGTCAATGGCAGGCATTGATGCAGCAGTTCTGGAAGGAGTTTCTTGACTCATGTCTTCCATCGATGCAAGCTCGCCAGAAATGGCGAAAGGAAGAAGAGGGTTTGGCAGATAGAAACGTGGTTTGGATGATAGATCCGCAGCAGATCCATGCTTCCTGGTCTTTCGCCCGCGTCATCAAAGTACTACCTGGAGATGACGGATGAATACGTGCTGTGAGAGTGGAAGCAGGTGGTTGAGTTTACACCCGCCCAGTTGCTAAGCTGAGTCGGCTGCCTGATGAGACTGAAGAGAGAGCTGAAGTGGCTGACACTGTTTCTTCAAATCCAAACTAGAACAAGTTGTTACTTTCATTGTCACCTACCCCATAACATGGGGCGGCCATTTTGTAATCTTGTTTAGTCTGTATTTGTTACCTATTACCCTTGCCAATTGCTTCGCTCTTTAAGTGTTACTGTTTTACAAAAAAATGTCAGTGTTCCTTAACAACCGTTTGCCTTTAGGAAGCAAACTGTTTCTCACAGTTTATGGGCGGCTATGTTGCAAACTGCTTTAGTGAAGCGTGCTCTCTCTGGCCAGATTGCTAGCAGCGCACGCGCCACATTTTTCCCAACATGTCGGAGGTGGATAGATGGTGAGATTCTTGCCATTTTGTTTGTAATGGTGACATTTTACAATACTAAAGGAACCTTGAAATCATTTACTTATTTAAGCCTTATCAATGATGCTGAGCATTTTTTCCATTCAACATGGACGCGCTGAGCACATGTAACCAATTAATGTTGGAATGTACAGCCTTCGCATGTGCAATGGACACATGCACAAGTCCTGTTGCCAAACTCCCCCCCCCAGCCTGTCTCTCCTTTACAAATGAGGGTGCACTTCAACTCTGGGTGGATATGTCACACTATTGTCATGGATTGACCAATCAGGATTGGGATTTAAGTTTGCTTGAAGATAAATTTCATGTCCATTAACAGTTGCTCTTTTAAAACAGGCTTCAAAGTAACAAGCCTTAAAGGAAAACAATATGCTTACATCCCCCTTATTAATCAAGCACAATGCCAAAGGGTCAAAAATAAAGTACTTCAGTTTAATTTAAACGCTTCAGACCCACAATCAGGATTGGTTTTGGGGACAGAGCCGAAGTTGAGTACATGTATTAGAAAACGCCCGTCGTGACAGACCTTTTCTTGTACGTTATGCAAATTTGACAAGCGCTACGTACTGACACTGTCCAGTGTGCAGTCTTCTACGCGCATGAAGCTTTTTAAAGCTTTTAAAGTTTCTGCACGTTCTATACGTAAACTAGTCGCCCTCGAGGTTCCAATGGTTTGTGTGTTATGGGACATCTTAAGTCCCGCATGTCCGCTTTATGTCCGTGTGTCATAAAAAAGAAACCCAACTTTTTAGGAAGAAATATAGCCAAACTATAGATTCGTCAACATGTTTTACTGTATCTTAAAGTGGAGGGTTCAAGCTTTCCATTGATATTGTAGCGTGTCCTACGGGTTAGGGTCCGACGCTAGTATAGATACACACAGCCACAACTCGCTGTTCTGTTCAAGAAATCACTGTTTTATTACTGTAGCGTCCACAACAATGTGTTTTTCAGACAAGCTCTAAACATGGCACCTCTCGGCAGGGACTGCGCAGGTGCGAGGTGGGAAAACCACGGGCCGTTCGCATACCAGCGGGGGCAGCCATCCAACTCCATGCGGGTCCGAGCTGGCGCCCCCCCAGCCAGACCCGCCGGCGCTACATCGCCCCCTCCGAGGACTCTTGTTCGTCCCCGAACGAGGCGGCGCAACCCTGTCGCCCCTGCGCAGCTTACAAGGCAGTGGAATAACAAGCAACAAGTACAAGTATTGTGGGTTCCGAGGGTCTTCTCCGCTACAATGGGGGGATCCAGGGGTCCAGTGTGGAGGAGACTCCGGTCGCCGCGGTGCTCCCCAGCGTTTCTTCGTTGCTCTGGGGGGACGGACTCTGGTGGGCGGTGGAGGGGGCTCCCGCTGGACCTCTGACCGCCACCGGCTGTGGTGAAGCTCACAGAGGGGTGGGTCCATCATGGTGTCTGTGTCTCTGGTGGTCCGCTCCTCCTGCAGAGTGGCTTGCACCCCCAGTCGCAGGCGGATCCCCCCGCATACGTCAGCCAGGGGGCAGACTCCGGCGGCCCCCGCTCCAAACCGGGGCTGGGGGTTCTTCCTCAGTCTGCGTCCCCGTCTCTACTGAGCGACGCAGGGGGGCGGTCCAGGTGGCTGCGGGGGCCCGAGGGCCCAGGGCCGCACCAGAAGGCGAGTCCGACTGGTCTCGTCGTTCCGGCTGGCCCTGCGACCCCCGCCTTTGGCGCCAAGAGGGCACCGGCAGCGAGGGCTCACCCACGACAGCTGACCGGGGGCGGGTCTGGGCAGCTCCTTCCGGAGGACCAGCAGGGGGGAGTGACTGCTCCATGGGTAACTCATCACCCCCCAACTCCCCGCCACTGGTGGAGACCTCCGGGACGTCAGGATCCTCCACCCGGATCTGGCCGATGAGGATGTGGTCGCAGTGTCGGTGGTGCCGATCCCGCATGTCCGAGTGGTAGAAGCAGCGGCCACATCCCCGCTCACAGGTATAGGGCCGGATGGCGAACAGCTCTGGACACGCCGACCTCAGGTGTTGCCGCAAGTTGGTCCGCTGGCGGAATTCTCGCCGACAGTGGGGGCAGGCTAACCGGTCCATCCCGAAGAGAGAAACGGAGGGAGATTCAAGAGTTAGCGTGGAGCAGAATCGCGCCGGGCACAGAACTCGCCCCCAGTCTCTGGTTCGCACGGCTATGGCTTCACCGGCACACTGCCTCCCTGGCTGCTTATGTCTGATTTCTCCCCGCTCGACATGCCGCCGCTCCGGCCCGGGCATCCCGACTTTGCCCCGTCAATAGGTTCCAGTGCGGTCCCTTCGTCAACGGGGGGAGACGGCCCCTGCAGGACTGAGGGCCGGATCTGCTGGCTCCTTGCCCCCCTGCCCGCACTGGCGCTTCCTCGGCCAAGGCTCCACGGGCTGCGCGCTCCCACCATCCAAGCTGCACGTCGCCCCCAAGCTGCACGATCTGAGCCTTCGCTCAGGCGCTACGCTGCACTTTGTAGTTCACGTCATTGAGGCGTTGTAGCACTGTGAAGGGTTCGTCCCACCACCGCTGCAGCTTGGGGGACCGGCCGACCTTCTTCTTTGGGGTGAACAGCCTGGCCGGGCTCAAACCCGCCCTCCTGGGCGCGACGGTCATACTGCTGCTTCTGGTAGCTCTGAGTCCGTCTCAGGTGTCGCCGGGCAAACTCGTGGGCCTGCGTGAACTTCAGCTCGTCGACGTAATTTAGTGCCTCGGTAGTCTCCGTCCGTTCCTCCGGTGACCCCACAATGACGTCTAGGGGGAAGTCCCACCTCCCTCCTGAGCATGAGCATGTTCGGGGTGAGCCTGGTGCTATCGTGCTGGGAGGAGCAGTAGGCCGTCAGGACGTAGGGAAGATGTTCATCCCAGTCGTCCTGATTCTCATACACAAACATGCTCAGCATGGTCTTCATGGTACGATTGAACCGTTCGACCATGCCGTCGGACTGGGGGTGGAATGGAGTCGTCCTGGTCTTGTGGATGCTTAATAGCCGGCAGACCCCCGTGGAACAGGCCCACCTCGAACTCCCGCCTTTGATCCGTGTGGATCTCCAGGGGTGTCCTGAAGTGCGTGATCACCTGCTCCACGCGGGTCTTGGCCACAGTTTCGGCCGTCTGATCCGGAAGTGGAAATGCCTCCACCCACTTTGTGAAATAGTCCGCCACTACCATTATGCTGGTGTTTCCGGCCTTGGTTCGGGGCAGACGTCGGGTAAGGTCAATGGCGATCCGCTCCATGGGGGCCCCCATCAGGTATTGTCAAAGCGGAGCTCTCCCGGGACGCGGTGGGGACTTCTTAGAACTGTGCAGAGATGACACTTCTGGCACCACTCCTCAGCCTGCTGTCTCATCTCCCTCCAATACACGGAGCCTGCCTGAATTGGGCCACGGTCCGAGCGACCCCGAGGTGTCCAGCAGTTCGGTGGTTGTGGGCAAGAAGTAGAACCTCTGGCACCCTGGCCTGCAGGACGGCGGTCTCCCAGGTGGGGGCCCCCCGTCGGCCCTTGCCCACTTCACTTGCAAGACCCCTCAGAATAGGTGCAGTGTGTCCCATCTGGACCACCAGCTTTTGACCCCCGCGCCAAGGTTGGAGATGTCCTCCTATTCAGGCCGGTCACTCCCCGCCACCAGCCACTGGCGGACCGGTCCCAGCTCCGGGTCGTCCTGCTGCTCCTGAGCTAGCTTGCTCAGGTCCCAATCTTGGGAAACCCGTCCAAAATCGAGTCATGTTCCTCTCCATGTCGGCTGTCGCAACCAGGGCTCATCCTCCGCCTCCGCTGGACCCAGTCGGTTTGGCTGAGCCTGCCGTCCAGCCCGGTGAAGGCACCCTGGAACTCTACCAGCAGGCTCGCCAGCTGTTCACGTTCCTCGCCGTCCAGATGGGCCGCTCCCTGGTCGAGGAGGTCCTGCAGGTGGGCGGGCACACTATCGCCCGAGCTCCGAGAAGAGCCTCCCTGGCAACCGTGGCCCGCCGGGCCGGCCTCCGGGGGTAGGGCTCTGAAACCACCTGTTGAGAACTCTCCTTGGGGTCGATCACTGCACCTTCTTCCACGGGGGCGAACATGGCCAGACGACTCCCCTTATAGACTGTAACCGGGTCTCCCATCGGGTTGAATACTCGCACCGGCATGGCCCCCTGACTGGCATCCAGGAGGCCTGTCGCGATGGCCACCTGGCAATGGTCCGTGGCCGCCAGGCTGGGGTACACCATCCCCACTCCACAGGCACAATCTCCGCAGACTTTCCCAGTCACGATCGCCTCGTGCCCGGCGGGAATTACCACGCTCTCGGCCACCTTGACCCATGCCGCTACCTGCTTGCAGCTCGGCCCCTCCAGAAAAACCAGCTTGCCGTCAGCCACGAGCGAGTTGTCACTCAACCTCCACTCGCAGTGGTGTTTACCCAGGAAGTCTATCCCCTCAATGACGTCGGGTTCGATATCCGCCATGATGTAGGTGTGTACGGTGCACTGGTCCCCCAGCATGAGTTTGAAGTCGGTGACCCCGTGCACTCCCATCGGGCTACCATCAGCCATCCGCAGAGTCGGTCCAGCTGGCTGCAATCTGGGTTTGTTGGCGCCGGTAAGCCCATAGTAGACCCTGGCCAACACAAGACTTACAGCTGCCCCTGTTTCTAGGAGCACCAACGCTATCTTGCCGGCCAGCTTGCCGGTGGCGTAGTTGGCCCGGTTCGCTGGCGCCACCGGCATCTCCCTGTGTCGGACTACTGGCCCTGTTTCTGCCGCCAACGGCCGCGGTGCAGGGGCCAGCTCCGGCTGCGCCGTCAAGATTGGCACCGCCAGCAGCCGGCCCCGGACGGCGCCGCCTTTCCCCTTTCCGCGCGGGCTATCCCGGCGGAAATGTCTATACTTGCGGCGCCCGTAGCACTGGACCCGCGAGGGGGCGCCCAGTTCCCAGTTCCTCCAGGGACTCTCCCCGACCGCGCACGCGCATGGAAAAATGAGCCCGATGGAGCGGCATCTGCGAAGCAACTCCAAACCGCCGCTCGAAGTGTTCAAGGATGCTCACGTAGTCCCTCCGGGCCTCCGGCGACAAGTCGGTAAATGCCTCCTGGGCCAGTCCACGCAGATGGGAGGCCAAGTACTCTGCCTTGTTGGCCTTGCTCCATCTATTGTTTTCGTACCGCAACTTCGACATACAGGTGCTCACTCATGTGTGACTATAAGAAGATGCACATAGTCACACCTTTTTCTGGTGTACCTACAGCTTGCTTATATTTCTTTGTAAAACTTGGGTTTCCTTTTTATGAAACACCCCGTATAGTTGTACTCATGATTTCTATGGTTCCCATCAAAGGACCGTCATATGCGTGTAAAAACACGCCCTCTCTTCTTTCTGCTCAGAGCGGATACTCTGTGGAGTTTGTAGAGAATTTTCAGTCACGTGGTGTTTGACGGTCAGCGTTCAATTTACACAGATGTGCGCGGAATAGCAACATTCTCTCAACATTATAGTGTTCGTGAAACTGCCAATAGAGATACGTAGATTCGAAAATGCACGTGCTTCCACGGACACTGTATGCTTTCTGAAATGCCTTTACCCGTCTTGTTACGTCAAGTGATAAATGTATCAAAGTGTGACAAATTCTTGACCGGGAAGTGTAGTGTAAACGAATAGCTAATGCGCGCAAGCTGCTTTACGTGCTAATGCTTTGGGCACCTACCGGTAATTTGGGACTTGGGGCTACCAACTCGGGGTATGGACGCAAACTTATTTTAGTACGTGCAACAAAAGAGGTAGCAATTTAAAGTTTTCAGTGGTTCTAGACCATGTGAAAGGAACTCTTGCAGAGTACCAGTCGCAAGGGGTATATTATCATGCGATTCGTATTGCACTGCATGTTTAACGCTTTTTGAACTCTATTGTGCTATTTTATGCAAAACTGTAATTTCAAGGGTTAGAGCATTTTTTCCCATACTTACAGCCACATAAACTGTATGAGTGGAGTATTGACAATTGAATGACCTTTAATGCTACAATCAAATGTGAATCGGTCAATAGAAACTCGCCATTAACCACAGATATGATACTGCTTTAACGTTCAAACATTTACAGGCTAGAACCCAATCTCTACATCTGAATGCAATTAAGATATGTCTGAGGATCTAGTCAGCCTTGCCAACAGAATTCCGCAAATCCATATCTTCGTTTTTGAGATAGCTGAAATACGAGGAGGCTGTTGCTGGGTTTAATGGACTCTAACGTGTGCCCGTTTTATTACTTTTTATTGTTTATTCCGTTTTGTCGTCACAATAATGTTTTTAGGTGTAATTGTATAATTTAATATTTAATTTATCCTTTTTAATACTAGTCTTTTAATATTACCTTTCATTTGCATTTTGTAAGTATGGTTTTCTGGGTTTTTAATGTCTGTATCATGCCCTGAAGTATATATCTCATTGTCATCTCTTATATATTTGAAATAGTCAAACGTTTAACTTTAAATGGTAAATCTATGTTTTTTAATGATCCTCAACCAGATGTGGGGCAGCAGGTCTACAGATCACCGTAATTTTATTGCTTTTGCTGCCCCTGGCCCATGTAGGAGTACTGATCTGTTTTCTACTGTACTAATTGCTCTGTATTGTCCCGTCATGTCTATTGTTTTAGCCAATTAAACAAAATAATAACAATGATAATGAGGTTAAATGCGCGCACATTCATTACATATTTCTTTGATAATGAAGATCAATCTTGTGTACAGGAGGCATTATATTCCATGTTTACAGCGCGTCAAGTTTGCTTGAAGATAAGGTCAAAGTTTGAGTGGTATGTGCGACTGCAGACTATACATTATTCCATGGTCTTCTCCACATGTCAAGAAAGCCTGGCGTTTCTGTCTTGCAACACATTGATCAGTGCTGGATAATTTTTGCAGTCATAATGTATGCAAAGTTAGCTTTATTTAGTTTATTTGAAATTCATAAATATCTTGGACATTATTCTTGGAAATATATTCATCCACAGTCCGCCACTTGGCCAGTCTTTAACGTTCGTTTAAGACCGGCACGTGAGATCCTTCGACTCGGGTGTTATAAGTGGCCATTCTCCTGATTCGGTTTTAAGAATATCGGCCAAGCACTTGAGAAAAGTACAAAATATATGGTATGTAATCAGAAACAACTGTTTTATTTCTTTGTTGTGGTGTTTCGTTTTCACTAACATTGTTTTAAGTTTCTATTGATGTGTCATTCTTTTCCTAACACATTTGGCGTGGCAAACTTCCAATTTTAAGTCATCATCAGTTTGGATATTAATCCATTAAAAGCCGAGATAAACCCCTTTTTGCCCTTGTAGATGTTTGAACCATTGTTACTGCATGCACACCCAACATGTAACATATTCTGCGTTTACGTGAAACACCAATTTTCCGTCGGGTTTTCCTGTTAGCTGTTGAAGACAAAATTCAGCATTACGCCTTTGCTCCATCAGCTAAGACAGCTTCTTGTGTGTGGTTTTTAGATAGGAAATTCACAGATTATCTCCAGCGGAGATTGGAAACGTTGTGTCCTCACTGAATTCGTATGGAAAATGTTTTGCCATAAAATTGAAAGTTTTAGTTGCAAAATATTAACGAATTCACAGAGATGTTTGTCGCGTCGTGTGGATGCGCTCTTTCGATAAGTAATTGCGAGTTCGAATCCCAGGCCGTTTGAGAAAATTAAACCCAAAGATTAAGTTTTGAAAAGTCTGCGTTCATTCTGAGGTGTTATAAGTTGGTGTTCGTAATTCTGACAAAAAATTGTTTGGAATCCGAAGCAGACACCCTTTTTAATGTCCTGCTGATACATTCAAAACCATTGGGTGAAGTAAAAAAGTCAGTGCTCATTCAGAAATGTTTGTGGCGCAGTTTGGAAAGGAGTCTGGAATGATGGATTCTAATTCCGGGCGGATATCTTTTTTACATTGCAATTTCATTGTAAAGAGTTTTGTCGGAAAATTTTAGATGATGGGTAGGATGCTGGGAAACCAGGAAAGTCCTCTTTTCAATAAATTTTTAATTTCCAATTGAGAAATTCAATCCCGAGGGTTAAGTATAAATAAAAATCTGTTTTCAATTCCAATTGAGAAATCCAATCCTGAGGGTTAAGTATAACTAAAAATCAGTCTGTTTACGGATGTGTTTGTGGCTCAGCGCGGAAGCGACGTACTCGAAAGTGTGGGATGCTGGGTTCGAATCCCGGAGAGACACCTTTTTAAATTTCAATTTCAAGTTGTAAATGTAACTCTAAGGGTTAAGTTTTTAAAAAAGGTAGTGTTCTTCATAGAGGTTTGTGTCTCAGTGAGAAAGTGTTGTGCTCCAAAGTAAGTGATGCTGAGTTCGAATCCAGGAAGAGACACCTTTTTAATTTCCAGTGTACAGAAAAAAAAAACAAAGTTTAAGTAAGAGAAAAGCCTAAAAA